GAGGGTGGTATAATTCCATTGCGCCAAAGTGTCGGCTGCACTAAGCAGAGTTAAAAGACTCCCCAGGGAGATTGATAGATAGATACCAGTAGCCCGATGACCAGGGGTAATAGCTGTAAAGTCGGTGAACATGGGTAAGCATGAAACTTAGATTATAAAATGCAATTACTTTACTTTTATGTACAGGTGCCCCTCTGTGCATTATTTAAGGCACATGAGTAGAACCACTGACATTCTGTAAGCTAGTTAGATAGTTTTCTCATATAAGAAAATCCGAAGACGCTTGTGTGGCTTGAACCTACAGCAGCAAAAGTCAGACGCTAGAGTTATGATTCAACACAAAGGTTCACCTCTGTGATTTACTCTTGCAAATGGCAAAACAAAACACAAGGCACTAAGTATTAAGACAGTTGCGATAAAGGTAAAATCTAATTTACACATTTTCCCTGGAATTAAGCCAGAGATCAGGGTGATGTTCAGATGTAAGGTAACAACTATAATTGGTCAGTTATACAATCTTTCAACAGAATTATATCCTTGAGTCACCCGAAATCGTGATATATCCGAAATCGTGTATAATTGCATTCTGAATCATTTCTTAAGTTTAACATAAGCAATACAGTGGAATCACAAAATCAAATCAAAACAAGAGCCATGTCAACATGGCCATACCTCGCCGCATGTGTTTGCTCATTGGAAGAATGTATATGTAGTAGAGCAGAATAATTCCATTTTAAGAGGTTTTTTGGTAATGAAAACTGATGGCTGAAGTGATTACAGATTTGAAACCTATGTGAATACTGATGGCTGAAAATAACAAAGGGCAATTACTGAAAAATAATGCAGGGTAGGTTATTATATTCTTGTGTGCTGCACCCCTCCTCAGTAAAATCTATCCACCTATGAAGTTTCAAGTTGATACCTCAAATACTTTTTGAGAAAAGCTCCGGACAAAATAGTATAAAAAGAACAAAGGGCAATAACTCAAAAATTATATAGGGAAGAGTTATCATTCTTGCGCACAGCAAGTTTGAAAAATAACAAAGGGCAATAACTCAAAAATTATGCATGGTAGAGTTATAATTCTTGTGCACTGCACTCCTCCTCAATGAGATCAATCCACCTATGAAGTTTCAAGTTGATATCTCAAATACTTTTTGAGATAAGCTCCCGACAAAATAGTATGAAAAAGAACAAAGGGCAATAACTCAAAAATTGTACATTGTATAAGGAAGAGTTATCATTCTTGTGCACAGCATTCCTCCTCACCTATGACATTTCATGTTGAGTTATGCTCCACTCAGGTGAAAAATTAAGTATGAAAAATAACAAGGGCAATAACTCAAAAATTATAAAAGGTAGAGTTATCATTCTTGTGCACTGCACACCTCCTGTGTGAGACCTATGCACCTATGAAGTTTCATGTTCATATCTCAAAGGCTTTTTGAGTTATGCTCTGGACAAAAATTAATTTTAAAAAATAACAAAGGGCAATAACTCAAAAATTATGCAGGGTAGAGTTATCATTCTTGTGCACTGCACTCCTCCTTAATTAGATCAATCAACCTATGAAGTTTCAAGTTGATACCTCAAATACTTTTTGAGATAAGCTCCGGACAGCAAAGAGTTATCATTCTTGTGCACAGCATTCCCCCTCAATAAGATCCATCCACCTATGACATATGTTGTCATCTCAAACACTTTTTGAGTTATGCTCCACTCAGGTGAAAAATTAAGTATGAAAAATAACAAAGGGAAATAACTCAAAAATTATGAAAGGTAGAGTTATCATTCTCATGCACTGCACACCTCCTGAGTGAGATCTATGCACCTATGAAGTTTCATGTTGATAACTCAAAGGCTTTTTGAGTTATGCACTGGACAAAAATTAATTTTGAAAATAACAAAGGGCAATAACTCAAAAATTATGCAGGATAGAGTTATCATTCTTGTGCACTGCACTCCTCCTCAATGAGGTCTATCCACCCATGAAGTTTCAAGTTGATATCTCAAATACTTTTTGAGATATGCTCGGACGAAAGGACGGACGGACGGTCGGACGGACGGACGGACAGAGCCTATTTTTATACCCCCGCTGCCTTTTCGGCGGGGTATAACAAGAGCCATGTCAACATGGACATCCCTCGCCGAATGTGTTTGCTCATTGGAAGAATGTATAATTTTATGTAGTAGAGGAGAATAATTCAATTTTAAGAGGTCTTTTGGAAATGAAAATGATGGCTGAAGTGATTACAGATTTGAAACCTATGTGAATACTGATGGCTGAAAATTACAAAGGGCAATAACTGAAAAATGCAGGGTAGGTTATCATTCTTATATGCTGCACTCCTCCTCAATGAGATCTATCCACCTATGAAGTTTCATGTTGATATCTCAAAGGCTTTTTGAGTTATGCTCTGGATAAAATTTACGGAGACTATTTCTATATTCCCCGCCGCCTTCGGGGGATGATTAAAACATTTTTTAATCAAAATCTAGTCTTAAAGCTGCACGCTCAAGATGAGCTAAAATATGAGAAAAATGAACTAAGATTTTAGGAAAGGTATAAAGATTCAAAATTCTAGTAAAAATTTACATGTTATTTGTGATTTATGACAAAATTTTTCAGTATGTATAACTATATTTCTATTGCGTTACTAATCTGCAGTGAGGGATATTTTTGCATATTTTGACCTCTTTATAGTAATTTACATAGGTTGTAAGTGCTATTTGATAATGTGTAAATTGCATTCTTTTGGTAACTTTACAATATTATACTGTTAAATACATTTTCAAATTTTCATGAAAATTAGCATGAATAGGTGTGCTGCTTTAAACTAGAACTTCCACTGTCATGGCGTGAATACCCCCTCATACCACTTTGTTAGAATCAACAGTGGCCGTTTAGAGCTCAAGGACAACCTCCCTGCCAAATCTGAGGTTACTAAGCCCGTGCATTGCTAAATTATGTATTCTACATGCTTCAAATGTGAAATGTCAAAATCAATACTCTGCGGACAGGCATTCTTAAGCATTTGAGCAGACAAACTTATTATAGTAAAAATCCCCGAGATCTTGACCTTTGACACAGTCAACTAAAAATCAATAGGGGCCATTTACTAGTCATAAACAACCTCAATACTAAATATGAAGACTGTTGACAAAAGCATTCTTAAGCAATTGAGGGGAAAAGCTTTTTGAGTCAAGGTCCCTGTGACCTTGACCTTTGACCCAGTGACCTCAAAATTAATAGGGATCACATAATGGTCATGATCAACCTCTATGCCAAATATGGAGACTGTGGGTCAAAGGTTCCTTAAGTTATTGGGCGGACAAATTTTTTTAGTCAAGGCCACTGTGACCTTGACCTTTGACCCAGTGACCTCAAAATCTATAGGGGTCATCCACTCATTATGACTAACCTCCATGCCAAATATGAAGACTGTGGCTCAAAGGAATCTTAATTTATTGGGCGGACAAGCTTTTTTAGTCAAGGACACTGTGACCTTGACCTTTGACCCAGTGACCTGAAAATCAAAAGGGGTTATCAACTCATCATGACTAACCTCAATGCCAAATATGAAGACTGTGGGTCAAAGGAATCTTAAGTTATTGGGGGACAAGCTTTTTTTTGTCAAGGCCCCTGTGTCCTTGACCTTTGACCAAGTGACCTAAAAATCCATAGGGGTCATCTACTAGTCATGAGTAACCTCCATGCTAAATATGAAGACTGTGGCTCAAAGGAATTTTAAGTTATTGGGCGGAAAAGCTTTTTTCAGTCAAGGCAAATATGACCTTGACCTTTGACCCAGTGACCTAAAAAAATAGGGGTCATCTACTAATCATGACTAACCTCCATGCCAAATATGAAGACTGTGGGTCAAAGGAATCTTAAGTTATTGGGCAGACAAACTTTTTTCACTCAAGGCCCCTGTGACCTTGACCTTTGACCCAGTGAACTAAAAATCCATAGGGGTCATCTACTAGTCATGGCTAACCTCCATGCCAAATATGAAGACTGTGGGTCAAATGACTTAAGTTATTGGGCGGACAAGGAAAAAACGATAGACGGCCGGATGTCTGGACAGTTAAGCTGATTCCAGTATACCCCCCTACAACTTTGTTGTGCGGGGGTATATTGACTTGACTTTACTACCAATAGAATGAGATTTTTATAAGTTGATTTTTATGCTCATATGAGTAACTGTGAAAGACAAATTACCATTAGATTCAATATCCAAAATCTAATGCCACTGAGAAATTTTGCCTTGCACTCCTCAAAAACAACAATGCCTAGAGCTTATAAAATTTAAAAAGATTATGGTCACAGACGGACAACTTGCCATCACAAAAGCTCACCTCTAAGCATTTTGCATGTGAGCTAAAATTCAGTATAATAAAGTAGGTCAGAAATTTCAGCAATTAATTGTATTTGGTTGCAGAACACCTAAGAGTGCTTCTTTGCACATCATTTCAAGCAAGCACTGCCACTGCAGTAGCACCATAAACATTCTGTAAGCATGCTTGATCGCTTTCCAGACACAAAAAAAAAACATCTGTAGAAGAATTCAAATTCATATCAAAATTCATGCCAGACTTATGGGGCTTTTACTTCAAATACATGTATCAAATTTCAAGTGAATACAAGAATGATGTCGCATGTAACATAATTCAGTTACATTCCATGCCAGAGTTATATAAGCCTCGGACAATAATCTCTTGTTATGATCTCAAAGACATGTAGAATAAGCTCAGTAGTGTTGAAGATTGATGTTGGATGCAAACTTTAACTAACAATTTTTCCAAGTTAACTTAGGGTCATAATTCAGTCAAATCCATGCTAGAGTTACATGCTTTTGACAGTTGTCCCTTATCATAATCTCACAGACTTATGAAGTAACAAACCAATGATGTAATTGCTCTATTACTGGTAGATACTGGCAAAAGTTGAGGAGAAACATACAGCAAACTAACTCCAAACTAAGCTACATTTATTTGCATATGATATTTTCAAAGCAATGTATATCAAGGACAAAACAAGTTTTATAATTTCTCATATACATTCATTATATGTCAGAGTAGACCCAATAATGGAATGAAATTAAATCATTTATTATCCTCTTGAATAAAAACATTAATGTCATATAATAATAATGCCAGTTCATCTACATTATGCTGTTCATCAATTTGTTCATTAAATATGTCAGGCTGTTCATCTTGCTCATCCCAGCCAGCCATGTTGGCAGGCTGTTCACCTGACAGGTTCCAATCTCTTAATATTGTTGTAGGACTCCAGATACCTGTGGCGTACCAGTTGATACCCCTTAATGTGACTGTACTCAATAAACTGGCATCCTGAATTACAATTAAAACCGTGTTACACATGAATATAAACCTTCAGTAATTACAATCATCTTCAATTCAAATGCATGAAATATTGACCTTGACACTGATTTTAAACTATACAGCTGCCACAGGAGTGAGGAATGCCCCCACCATCCCATAATACATGCACAGGAACTGAGCCTTCAAAGCTGTGAGAGTCCCCAAATTTTAACTAGAGCTGTCAAAGAAGTGACCAATACCCACACCATCTCCTTGACACAGGATTTTTGTAGGTTCTATCAATATTTTTGAAGGTTTACATCTGAGTTAAATTTAAATACAAGAGCGATCAGTGATCACATGTGTCGCCTCATGATGGCCAATTTCATGTTGGGACAAGTTTTGTGACAGACAGACAGAGAGACGGACAGTGCACAACTAGACTTGGTACTGATCATTCCTGTAAAGTTTGGATAAAATTGCACCAGCAGTTTATGAGAAGTAGTCCGGACAAGCTTTTGTGTATCTGGCAACACACAGAAAAAAACACCTTTTTATCAAAGGGCCATAACTTGGCCAAAAATCATTCAACCGGAAAACCCGTGCAATATGCACAAGGATTTGAGCTACAGATCAATCCTGTAAAGTTTCATTGAAATTGCATTAGTTGTATAAGAGAAGTAGTCGGGACAAACTTTAAAAATAAAAATTATTAAAGGGCCATAACTCTGACAAAAATCATTGAACCGAAAAATGCTGACAATATCCACAATTAGACTAGGTACTGATCATTCCTGTAAAGTTTGGATAAAATTGCACCAGTAGTTTATGAGGAGTAGTCCGGACAAGCTTTTGTGTATCTGGCAACACACAGAAAAAAACACCTTTTTATCAAAGGGCCATAACTCCGCCAAAAATCATTCAACCGGAAAACCCGTGAAATATGTGCAAGGACTTGAGCTACAGATCAATCCTGTAAAGTTTCATTGAAATTGCATTAGTGGTATAAGAGAAGTAGTCCGGACAAACTTTAAAAAAATATAAATTATTTAAGGGCCATAACTCTGACAAAAATCATTGAACCAAAAAATGCTGACAATATCCACAACAAGACTTCGTACTGATCACTCCTGTAAAGTTTGGATGAATTTGCACCAGTAGTTTATGAGGAGTTGTCCGGACAAGCTTTTGTGTATCTGGCAACACACAGAAAAAACACCTTTTTATCAAAGGGCCATAACTCTGCCAAAAATCATTCAACCGAAAAACCCGTGCAATATGCGCAAGGACTTGAGCTACAGATCAATCCTGTAAAGTTTCATTGAAATTGCATGAGTGGTATAAGAGAAGTAGTCCGGACAAACTTTAAAAATTAAATTATAAAAGGGCCATAACTCTGACAAAAATCATTGAACCGGAAAATGCTGACAATATGCACAACTGGACTTGGTACTGATCATTCCTGTAAAGTTTGGATGAAATTGCACCAGTAGTTTATGAGGAGTAGTCCGGACAAGTTTTATGACGCACGGACAGACAGACGAGGGAGAAGTGATCCCTATATGTCCACAAAAACCCTTAAATGACTATAATATAAAATGTACATTACAAGGTGGACATGAAAATGTCTGAAATTTGATCTATAAGGGCGACCTTGATTCATTACAGCATCTGCACATTACCTTAAGTTGGGGTTAACATTTAAGTCATAAGTGTGAAGAAAATAAATGCAAATGAAAAAGTGAAAGAATAGCTAAATTTTCCTTTATAAAAGAAATGTGGGAAAATCTCTTATATTTTTTACTGTTCATACGTAGCATTTAAATAACATTGTAAAGACATACAGTTGAAGTACCGGTAGGTGGTGTTTCAGGATCTCTCACAAAGGTGCTGCTAGGGTTGAGAAGATTCTCATCTGGGTCCCAATCCTTGATATTACTAAGTGGATAATCTTCTCCTGAATAATTTAATATTCATTCAGTTAAAAATGAGCAAAATTATCAATTGCAATTTTCAACAATCTGAATAGAATTGGCTCCTAATTAATGCTTCGCATTAGGTTCTGACTGGCACCAATAAGAGGTCACCTTCATAAAACCATTCAAACAGCCAATCATCAGCGAGCTTTCACAATTCGAAAGTGATGCGGTTTCTAATTTTAACCCCTGGAAAACCAAAATTTTCATAGTTTCGGGAACAAATATGGCACTGTCAAAAAAGCCAGCAGGGAAAAAAAATCTTATAAAACTTTTAGGGGTAATATTTACACTGAATTTGGATGAAATTATTAAAGTTAACTATAATTCAAAAATTGAAGAAATCAAAACTTTTTTCTATTTGGTCAAAAAGAATTCTTACACCATTGGGGAAAAATACAGTAATTAAAATTTAGCACTTCCAAAATTAAACCATTTAATAATGGGGTTTTAGCTCTACAGACAATTTGATTAAGGAGATACAAAACTTATTTTATGAATTTTTATGGAACAATAATCCTGATAATTAAAATACCATGTAACGTTATCTGCTTTTGTAGAGATTAATGGTAATGGGATTTTTTCTTTACGTATCCATCGTGAATAAAAGATTAGAAACAAATCCCTACTTTGCTTGTTCTATTTTTGAATAATCATTATTTTATCAGAATATTTTTATATGGTACTAACAAATTTTCAATACAAATCTATATTGTATACCATTGAAATTAAATACTTAATTTGTGTTCATGTTCGGTTTATACCGTTGTTTATATATCGCTGTTATAATCTGTTTTAAGCTGTTTTAATCTTCTCATTTTTAAATATATTTAGCAGTATAATGATCAAAGACATGATAAAAAATAACCCTTGCTTGTTTTTGCCTGCAGTAAACAGTCTTTTGTATTTATACAATACATGTAGCTTGTGTCTATGTGTGATTTTCCATTGTTTATTTTTCACACTTACCTACGTACATCAACTTAAAAGAAAGAATTGACGTTCTTTTATTCAAATTGTGTTTGCATGTTGTTGTTTTTTTATTTCATTTACGTATATAAACCGATATATGTAGATTACGAAAAAACGCATTTTAAACCAGAGGTAATGGAACATCAACAAATCTTAATGTGGTCAGTTTTTGTTTATTTTGTACAAATATCTTAATAAAACGCAGAAATAAAACACATCAATGCGAGAAAGATGACACCGCAGAAATAAGATATGCAGAAATTTAAAAACCCTTATTTTAAAAGAAATAAGTACTTATACGGTATTTTCTGGAAAGATGTTTGGTCTGGCTATGTCTCATTTTTTGTCAATCTTATGACTCTAAGTCAAATATCTTTTAGGCAAGATGAGCCACAAGTTGAAAACTAAAAATCTTTTACTCAGTAAAGGGAAAGAACTTTACAAATACTGAATAATTTCCACAAGCAAAACCCAAAAGGTGGCATAAGTGCACATGCTGACAACATTCTTGTAAACTTTCAGGCCTACAGGTCAAATACTTTTTTGAGCTATGCATGAAACAAGTTGAAAACTGCAAATTTATACTAAGTCAAGGGCAATAACTCTAATAAAACTGAAACAAGAGGGCCCAGAGCACCCTGGATCGCTCATCTGAGAAATAGGTCAAAGTGGAACCCCTTTTCACCCCAGAAGCACAATTTGAAAACAAGAGACAGCTTAATCTGAACAATTTTTGTAGTCACCAAGGAAAATTTTTGTTTGTGTGAAGTTATTTCCAAATTGATACAGTGGTTTAGATGTTGTTTAGATGTTGCTGTTTTCTAATTTTATCTCTGACCGCCATTTTATTAAACAGTTCAGCCTGTCACTAAGTGAGAGGTGAGCTAATAAAAAGATGACAGAAAAAGAAAAGGAAATGTCGACTTCTATCCCCTTGTGCAGGGCCAATTTTGTCCCTAGGGTTTTTATTTCCACGAACATGGTAGACATACACTAGAACATGTTTCATGTCAAATATCTCAGCTGTACCTCTTTTGGATTTTAACAAGAAGATTTTTTAAATTTTTAATTAATACATATAAGGAAAATCACTGTCCCCTGGGGCAGGGCCAATTTTGACCCTAGGGCTTTCATTTGAAGAAACTTGGTAGACATTCACAAGAACATGTTTTATGCCAAATATCTAAGCTCTAGCTTTTTTTGTATTTTCACAAAAAGATTTTTTAAGTTTTACTATATATATTTACATATAAGGAAAATGACCCCCTGGGGCTGGGCCAATTTTGACCCTAGGGCTTTTATTTGAACAAACCTGGTAGACAACCACTAGAAGATGTTTCATGCCAAATATCTAAACTCTACCACTTTCATTTTTTTACAAGAAGATTTTCTAAGATTTTTGTAAAAAAAATCTTTAGGTTGCCATGGCAACCAGAGTTCTTATGGAATTTAATTCTTTCAACCATGTTGGTAGAGCTTCATGCAAGAAACATCCCTGCAAAGTTTCAACAAATTTGGTCAAGTGGTTTAGGAGGAGTTGTTTAAAGAAATTGTTAACACATGCACGCATGCACGACAGACAATGGGCCATCACAAAGGTTCATCTTAAGAACAATGTCCTCAGGTGAGCTTAAAAATCTACATGCAAAATCCCAGGTGCATAGCCTTACAGTGATGTAGATCATTATTTCTGTTAAGTTGGTTGATTCTTACTCAAGCACTCAAGGAACCTATAACATAATGGAACAGTTTTTTACTTAGTCATGGGCTAAAGTTATAAAGTAAAGTTATCATGGGTTATAGTCATAACTCTAAACAGACTGGATAAATGCACAAGTGATACCCAAGGTGCACAACAACACATGCTGACCAACATTCCTGGTAAGTTTCATGACTCTAGGTCAAATGCTTTATGAGTTACTCGCGACACAAGATGAAAATTGCAATTTTTTACTAAGTCAAGGACAATAATTCTACAAATACTAAATAATCCACATGAAAATACCCAGGTGCACAACTTCACATACTGATTAACATTCCTGTGAAGTTTCATGACTCTAGGTCAAGGACAGACAAGGGTAAATCTAAATGCCCCTCCTAAAGTAGGGGGGGGGGGGTTAAAACCGTGAAAGTCATGAATATTCACCTGATTGTGTATTCTGGCTTTCAGTCTTAATTTTCTTTATTGGTTGCACTTCTCTAGCATTTAGATTAAACCCAGATGCTCTCCTCTCATATAATCTTTTTCCAGGTTTTTCTTTGACTGCTGAGCTTTCAGTCTTAACTTTCTTATCTACTGGCACTTTTTCATGCTCAGATGCTTCCTTCTTCTTAAATGGTTTCTTCGCTGCATTTCCTAACTTAGCATCTTAAAATATCAAAAATATAGTTGTTAGTATACATATAAAAACATATCATGTGGCTTGCAAGATTTTTAAAAACATGGCTATTATGGTCCTAAGTCATCACATGAGTATCAAAATTTGAGAATGATTGTTATGTTATACGGTGAATTTGACACAAGTAAAACAATGAATTTGACACAACTTTAATGCAACAATGCCTTAGGTATATGTAACACTGAAACTTTTTTAGGGATTCAAGTTGGTCCATAAATGTATGGTTAAAAAACCAATGAGTGTAGTCTAATATGAGATAGGGATTTAGCCAGTGAGACCTTAACTTTCATGCCTCAAGTCCGGACTAAGGAAAGTTACCTGAATAACACTATGTCACTTTATTCATAAAACAAACAAAATTATGCAATAAATAACAAAGCTCTACAAATGTAAATAAAGTTTCATATTTTGGTCTTGATGGTACATGTAATTTTAATAGTGACACACCATTAAATTAAACACTTAGACCAAACTATTTTAAAATTCATCCAGGAATGACAGAATGGTTGACTGGACAACCACTAATGCACTTATGTGAAAAATTCATATCATGACTTTGGACATACAAGTGTGACCTTGACCTTTAGGGTAGATAAATGATTATTTTGCATGATATGTTGTCTTTATACCCTTTACATTTTTGAACAGTTATTTCAAAATCAATTTAGGAATGACAAAATTGTTGTCTGGTCAACAACATTTTTCCACTTTTTATGCAAATTTTCCCTTGAGGTCAGAGTGTGACCTTAACCTTTGAGCTTCAAAACTGATTCATGTATGCAGCATATTGACTCAATGCAATACAATTTTACAAACAAAATTTTTTAAAATCCAAATTCAAATGACAATGTTATGGACTAGATGGATGGAGGGACTGGACCTGCATAAAATATATGTAGGCTATAATCTTACAAAGGTCAAGAGTTTTAATATATGCTATAATCTTACCGAGAAGAAGAGTTTTAGTATGCATTTTTTCTTCACTCTTACAATCTTCATTTTCTTCTTCCTTCTGTTTTTCTTCTGTATTATCATCATATGTATCATCTAAAGCTGCATTTGTATCATATAATCTTTGAAAAAAAAAATAATTTTTTTTATTCTTCATAATCTGCTAGAACTAAAACTGATAAGCCTTTATCACCAATATTAGAGCCAGACTATCATGCTCTATAATTCAGGTGGTAAAATATTTTGAATTTTAATTCTCTTTAGCTTTCAATAGGCTGTTCCAAATTCAAAGCTGGGCTGTCAATTACAAGAATTCAGTTGAAACCAGTTGAATAAAATCAGATTATGCAAACCTCTGGCGAGCATGAATTGTTCTATTCAACAAGTTCAATAAGAAAACGTTATTTTATCAAGTTTTCAACAAAACAAACTTACGTCGAATTGTGTTTAGATCAGTGCCCCATTTATCATTCACGTATGTATGAAATAACGTCAGCTTGTTAAGGAAAGAGTTGTTTACTTAGGATGACGTCATTACGCTGCTTACGGATTGGCGCCGTTTTGTCAAAATATTTATTAACTGATATGAACCAAATATGTAGCGTTAGTGTATGTGAGATATTATTTCGGTATTGTATGAAAAGAAAACATTATAGGAACTGAAAATATAAACAAGAGCGATCAGTGATCACATGTGTCGCCTCATGATGGCCAATTTCATGTTGGGACAAGTTTTGTGACAGATGGACAGACAGATGGACAGTGCACAACTAGACTTGGTACTGATCATTCCTGAAAAGTTTGGATAAAATTGCACAAGTAGTTTATGAGGAGTAGTCCGGACAAGCTTTTGTGTATCTGGCAACACACAGAAAAAAACACCTTTTTATCAAAGGGCCATAACTCTGCCAAAAATCATTCAACCGGAAAACCCGTGCAATATGCACAAAGATTTGAGCTACAGATCAATCCTGTAAAGTTTCATTGAAATTGCATTAGTGGTATAAGAGAAGTAGTCCGGACAAACCTTAAAAATAAAAATTATTAAAGGGCCATAACTCTTACAACAAGTTTTGTCACAGACGGACAGACAGACAGACAGACAGTGCACAACTAGACTTGGTACTGATCATTCCTGTAAAGTTTGGATAAAATTGCACCAGTAGTTTATGAGGAGTAGTCCGGACAAGCTTTTGTGTATCTGGCAACACACAGAAAAAAACACCTTTTTATCAAAGGGCCATAACTCGGCCAAAAATCATTCATCCGGAAAACCCATGCAATATGCACAAGGACTTGAGCTACAGATCAATCTGTAAAGTATCCTTGAAATTGCATTAGTGGTATAAGAGAAGTAGTCCGGACAAACTTTAAAAATAAAAATTATTTAAGGGCCATAACTCTTACAACAAGTTTTGTGACAGACGGACAGACAGACTGACAGTGCACAACTGGACTTGGTACTGATCATTCCTGTAAAGTTTGGATGAAATTGCACTAGTAGTTTATGAGGAGTAGTCTGGAAAAGTTTTGTGACGGACGGACGGACAAACAGCCGACGGAGAAGTGATCCCTTTATGTCGCCACTAACTCCGTAGAGGCGACACAATAAAAATGCTTTTTATTGTTCCTTTAAAAGGGTTTGTAAAATATATAATCGAGGGAGAAAACATAACAGCAGCATAATTATACAAATAGTCCTTAACCAGTGTTTATTGGCAGTTTAACACCGTTTTTTTCCCTTCTTTGTCTATAGTAACAAATCACGTGGAGTGTTAGAATAATTCCTATATCTTAGCAACAAATCAAACAGCGTTATAAGAAAATTGGCACTGGAAGTTATTGCCGCTTGAAAAAATAACATTAATGATCTCCTTTATTTTATCTTGTTAGAATCGAAATAATATCGGTCTGAGCGGTGTTTATCGGCTATTTAACAGCGGTATTGTCGTTTTGATGTGAAAAAATTGACCACTCAGGCCTACAGCCTTCGTGGTCAATTTCTACGCATCAAAACTGTTAAATAGCCAATAAACACCGCTAAGATTGATATTATTTCGATTCTAACAAGATAAAATAAAGGAGATTGTTATACGAGTCTCGATGCGCACCCCGATTTGGAGATATGCTAGAGGACTGATAAATAAAATCCAAGATTTAAATTTTGAAAAACATAAGTTCTTTATTCTGTGACAGTCAAGATGGAATATATGTTTATATTACAATACATTATAAATAATTATAATAATTATTCAGTAATTGCAATATTTAAATTAACAAATACATGGGGGAATTTAACAATAACTCGCTTTGCATGTGAGAAGATACCGAGATCTTGATCGATGATAAAAATCCTTAATCAACCGATACTTATAAAAAGAACTTTTAAATAGCTTTGAAATGAAACTGATGATTGAGTAAAAGAGCATTATCTGAATATTTAAAACCAACTATATCAATATAAATTATGTGAAAAATATTACTTATGAAACAATTTATCAATAACTAAAATAAAAATATTTTATTTACAAATTTATATAACTAAATACTTTGAGTTAACATTTCTTATAAAGCAAAAACTTAATGTTATACATATGACAATTTAATTTACTTCTACAATAAGAAATATTCCAAGATCTCAGTTATTTAAGTTACAATAATATAAAATACAATGATTATTTAATATGCAAAGTATTGAAAAATGTGCAAAATATAAAATTAAAACATACTAGAGAGAAACAGCTTAAGATAAAATAAAACATATTTCTTACAGTGAAATATTGAATGAAAAACAGCAGATATAGACAAAATACAAGGGGGAGAATCACGCCGTTCGTTACCCAAACAAACAAGATGGCGGATGCAGCCAAAAAGTAGGTTTTTCCCTTTTTTCTCTGAAATTCGTGATGTTCTAATGTAAAGGTACATATAACAACCTTCTACACATTTTTCCTGGCACACAGGATGTTATTTCATGATGTTTCGTCCCGTACTTCATCTGAAATGCGCGTCACCAGATTCGAAGCGAGAGAATTTTCCACCGGTTTGATCGTGGTAACGTACGGCTTTTTCTCTCAAATTCACTGTTTCTTTTACATATATGTATATTAACTGAAACCACTGACTTAAAAAAGTTGTAATATGTTGTCAAGTAAGCAATCATGCCAATTCTGGCTAGATTTACTGCTGTAGATATTAATATCGGGACATTTTCCGGAAATGATAACGTATGGCGCACAAAATATCAATGATAACGTACGGCGCATTTTACTACTTGGTGGATTTCCATTTGTCCAATCAGCTGATAATGAATTATTTTTATGTAGGAAATGATAGATATCTGAAAAAAATGTTGGTCCGGTCAGAAATATTTAATTGAACAATGCTGTACTATCGGAAATAGCTGGAAAAATCTTTCTAGCTGGTGGCATAATATATATTCGTTGTTAATATACCAATTAAAACACACGTGTATAGTTTGAGAATATTTTGTATAAAATGCAGAATGGGAAGAAAAGTCTCAACTTTAAGGAAACATTTGTGTGTTGTTGTCTTTACATTAAATTTCGCCAATGTTGTGCGATAATTATGGTCTTATCCCATAATTGGAAAGAAGAAACGCATTCAGCAGAGCAAAAATGTTAAAAAGGTACGGACGGCTTGATATATTTTCTTTTCCAAATAAAAAGTCTAAAATCATTCCAAACAAATTTCTGATAAGGAAATCTTAATATTTGAACCCCTCAACATTTACAAAACGAAAATTGATTGCGACTAGCTTACACCCAGATGAGATGAGCCTGTGTTTATTCAATATGGTCGCTCATTGAAAGAAAAATACATAACAGAGAAAAATGAATGAATGTAGGTTCTATAATGAGTTTATTGAATGAGTTAGAAAATAATGTTATGCGAAAAACTTAATTGAATTTAGTAAATAAAAAAAAATCTGTTTATTAGACGGACGGTTAATATTGAAACGCTACCATTTAGCGTGACATTGTGAGATATAATTACGCGACATAGCCTCAGAGTTTTTTTTATTATAGTAGACAGTAGACATTTTATTTTATTCCATTTGGCTTTAGAGCCAATGAGGACATAAAACATGCATAATAACGAACAGTTCATATAAACATGTAACCCTTTCCATTATGAGCATATTGTGAAAAATGGCCGTTTTTTATTGAAAAGCCTCCTGTTACAAGTTCAAACTGCTATGAAACTTTGAAAAATGTTTCAATACTAATCAAACTTGGCACAAATGTTGACAGGACCATTGCCTTTGTAACGACATGCTCAGTCTAAAATTTCCTGTTACCATGGCAACATGGGGACATCTCAAAATTGCCATTAATCACTATTTTGCCTTGAGTTTTTTCATCAAAATTTATTTCAAAGTGCTGCAACTTCTCAAGGGATTGAGATAGAGTCAAAGGCTTTTCAGCGTTGGTTACACGTTACCTTATGATCGACCTGGGGTCATTTTTAGCCTCTCGCAAGTCCAAAATTTTCTTGGCGATGAGGGGGACTACCGCCCCTCTTCAAACCCCCCAAACAGAAGGGGGCACATCCCCCTTCTGGCAACCCCCTGATATATCTTTTGGATGGGGGCGGCGCCGAAAAAGGGCTCACTTTTTAAGCAACGTTTCTCAAACGAAAACATTTGTTTGGGGTCCAAAAAGGACATTTTTTCACTGAGGCCTAAAAGGGGGGGGGGGGGGTCGAAAGTGTGTTGTTTCGCGTATATATGAGGTAAAGGGGTAAATACCAGCCGAAATTATCTGAAGGAGTAACATTATGAATATTTTCAAAATTGATCTTTAAACCAGTAACTTATAGGTCTCTTGTATTTACATATACATACACACGTATACATGTACATACATACAAAAAGCATACATTACATGAGCTATTAATGCAAAATTGTTGTATATAAATCGATTTTTAACACAGAAACGCAATTAACCGTTGTTTATACATATATCCTAAAAAAATGAAGGTCCCTTCGCATCAATTGCGGATTTCATAATTGTAAATAAAAGGAACGTCATAAGTTGATCAAAACAATTACATGCAAGAATTTGCCTATCATATTCTGGCGTTTTTTTTCCACAAACGCCCCAACAAAAACAATAATTTCTTTAAAAAAAGTATTGCAGGTATCAGCAATAAAAGAGTGACATTG